AAAAAATGCATTGCAGTTGCACAAGTTGCATAACGATACACAACGTATCATATCGTTGGCTCACACCAGAAACACCCATAACGGGGGTCCATGACAAAGCTGTGGACAAGGGTTGGGATCATGAGGTTAGGTAGTGTTTGTTGTAGAATGATATAAATTGCTGCATATAAGTATATAACTATAACTATAACTATAAATATGCTACAGATAGTCAATATAATTTAGCATGTAGAGGGACAAGTTGCAGTACAGCAACAAACCACAAGACTTGAGCAGATCGGACGGATATAGAGTCGGGTAGACATGCACTTGTTGAATTCAACCAACCACCCCTCCTCGTCCAAGCGGGTGGCCCCTTGCCAGGAGCAAATGACCGATGAAGAGTACCAGAGGCCCAGATGCGTTCCCCCGTTCTCATGCGTTTGAGCTCCAAAAAGCCACTGCCGCCCTGCACATATTCCAGCTGCTTAAGCAAAAACATGTGCCTGTGCAGCATGGGGCTTCGACAGATCCCTAGGACGAACACATCACATGGAAGTGGATGGCCTGACCCTTGGGAAGACGACCTGACCCGGGAAGATACAGACAGAGTGGAGAAACCACTTCCATGTGTTGGTCGGAGTGTGGCAGACCGGGACAAGCACCTAAAAGTTCGTTCATCAAACCCCTCCACTTGGATTCATTGCACCACCTCCCAATTTGGGGTCCTGGAGGGTCTTGGGTAGTTTCGCCTTGCCTCACCCTCGGTCGACTGGCACGACTTGCCGCTCAGCTTCTACGACACGGACCGCCACTTGCAGCGGAAGCGGCAGAAGCGGCTGCTGAGCCAGGGAGACGCAGTGCGGAAGAGCCGGTGGGAGAGTTTGGTGCTGGCGGTGTTGAGAGTTTCGTATAGTTTCGTGACGGTGAGTTTCGTGTTGGTGGCGGCCTAAAAATCAACCACTTTTTGAAGCTTGGGGTCACATTGGCCCAGTGAAGACTTTGGGATTTTGGAAATGGGAAATGGTTGCTGTACATTAGGAAGTGGTGAAGCAGCAAAGTGTCACTTGCTCATGTCGGGCACGAAAGAATGACGCACCGTGACCAGGATAGTTTGTGCAACAATATTCATTTGATTTACTGATACTATAGTGTTTGGTCATGTGCTTTAGGGGCAATGATGCTTGACCGCAGGACCTTCATGACAAGTGACAAGCACTTGCAGATGGTACCGAGTCAATCGCCACACGCACACACTCGCCGTGATAGTACTTTGGAATTGAGTTAGGTAATTTACACCATTTCTTGAGCTTGGGTCGACAATTGGAGGGGAGTTGGACAAAATCCCCTCACTTGTACCCAAACTTGGTTGCTATCATGATGGACGACCATATCGCCAATTTAGTGCAAACCTGACCTGTGTCAGTCAAAGTTGATATGTTGCGCCACAATTGCGTTGGCAACAGGTTCGAACGACACTACTTGTGCCTGCACCCGCAGCAGTAATGCTCGAGACAAGGATCTAGGCCAGTCATTCGATTGGACCTAGATCTTTGTTTCCGTGTCTTGGCGGCACAAAGCGTCATACAGCGAACCTCCAAAAGTCCAACCAGGCCTCCAGGAGTCCAACAGGCCATCAAATACAATTACTGTAGGGTGCGGGGGGTGACACGGTGGTGACATGGTGTATACGTCGTTTTGCATGCAGTTTTGCACATCAACCGCATCAGCGGCTTTGCAAGGCAGATATCCATTACATAGATGTTCCTAAATTTGAAGGGTGCAGAGCTTTCACCAGCTTTGACCAGGATCCGGATCTTGATCCGTTTGCATCTGGTGCACGGGCTCGTCACGCACCAAATCGCCAGCTGGATCGAGGGCCTCCGTCGATCTCTGAGGTTTCTCTCCCCTGCGCTGCACCTGGGCGACTTGAACGTGCAACTCATGGACTGTCAGATTGAACACGACGTGTAGATTCCCAGACTAAAACCATCTAAAACCGTATGAGGCAGAAGGTTCCTGTGCACACTGACTATTCCAAATGAAACTATACCAGAATTCATGTGGATCCTCAACTTGACCCTTATTGGGCATTTTACAATGTTCCTTTACAAATTCAGTTTTTGAGTGAAATTGTCCTGCTTGAAGCTTGTGCAGTGCGCGGATCTCCTGCCAGTGTTGAAAGGTAAATAAATGAAGGAACTTGGTGGTGCCAGTTCCGGAAAATTTGCCATTGTGCCAGTAGCAGGCAGCAAACAGAATGGTGGTTTGCAGCCCCGAACGGTTCAGTTCGTCTTGAGTTCAGACATCAACAGCCGTTTGGTTGTTAAGGAAAGACCGGGAGATGTGTTTAAACCATTTCAAATCCTTTTAGGGTCCGGTGTGGTGTCAAAGTCTTCAAAGTAGGCGTTTGTCATCAGTAGCTTTGCCCACCCTCGTTTATTTCGGCCGCTATTGTACACATCCTAGAGGAACAAAGCCAAGGCCACGGCCTTAGGTCCAAATCAACAGAGGCATGGTGACGACACATCCCCCGCCACAGGCGACGGCACCGTCCCCTGGTAACGCGCGAGGAGGCGGAGCCGCGGCGGACACGGTAGGATCCTTATAGGGTGAGGGGATGGGGAGAGTGGCGCTGGAAGGTCAGGATTTTTGAATTCTATGAGTATATGCTTGTGTGTATTTCTGGTAGCTGGATGTTTATGCAGGAGTACTGGGCACGGTTTGGACTCACAAACTCCTTGGGACAGCTGCAGACACCCTCGCTCTTGGCTCAGCCGCTGCTCAGCCACAACCGGCATCACCGGGTCCACAGCGGCAGGCTTTCGCTGAGACGGAGGCCTTTCAATGAAGCTCCGAACGGTCGCACTAGGCGCGGTTTCCGCCTCGGTGGCGCGGTGGCGGTTGGGTGATCATACCCCAGACACCGACCCGTTTGGGACTGCCAGTTCGGACTGCCGATCAAGCCAGACCCCCTTTCAACCACCCGAAGGTGGGCATAGATGGCATACATGAAGTTTGGACTTGGTATAGGGATCTTCCCTTTGGTGAACCACCAATAGGTATGCACAAAATCGACCCCTCTATTCTTTCCCAAAAGGACATCTTGGCGCCGTGCTTGCGGATTTGTGTGGCAGGTGGGAGAACCCCCATCTAATTAATGCAGTCATGAGTGCGGACACATCTTAGACAGCATTTGTCTATTGCTTTCTAGATCTTTCTGGTGTCCACATCCGAAGGAGGCATTGTCCCTCGTGCTGCCTTCTTGTCGTTGACATGGGATTTGGACTGCCATCCTCAACGGCGTCCGGGCCGGCTGCTGACCCAGACCGGGGAGCTGCCCGGTGTCCGATTCCGAAGTGTCCAGGTATGTCCAGGTGTTGGAAGAAGACAAAGTCTCTTGAGGATTCATCAGCTTTTTTTGGAGGTTTCCTCAGGCAATCCATTTCAGACGATCATGCAAGATTTGGATAGATTTGGATGATTTTGGATGCCTTCACCCAGGTGGCCCTGACCTCTCCCAGCTGGCGAAACTGCATTTTTGGCCCAATCTCATCTTACCAAAGCCATAGGTTCATGTGTTGTGTCATGTGTCCCCACACACAAGATCACACAAGGAGGTTTCCAGATCTACCCAGACTATGGAATAGCTTCATACATTTACAATCATTTATATTGTACCCTGTATTACAACCCATTCATTTGTATAAGAAACTAATTTCATACATGGACGATCTTGAACTATGTTGATCTACGTAAACTCAAGCCCCACCACTTCAACGACCGCCCCGCGCGCCCGGCGCCATGGCTCACCGCATCTTCTCCTGGACCGGTCTCCATGCTGTGTTGGCGGCGCTGGGCTGCTGCATCGCAAGCGGTTGCAGTTGCATCGACCAGCTCAAGCCCAACGAGCCGCTGAGGTCCCCAGCCGCACGGCTTCGACAGCAGCCCTACGTCTTTGCTGGCGAGGCTGGGTGGGAAGTGAGCAGGTGAGCGCACCATGCGCCTAAGGCGATTGAGTGTGACATCTCAGTTGGCCCAAGGCTCCCCATGTCCATAAGCTCAGCTGGCCAAGATGCAGCAAAAGTATTCAAAAGTATTCAAAAGTAGAATCCAATATTTTACTCAGTTTGATCCTGTTACCAGTTCCTTTCAGGTGCAGAGTGCGCTACCTTACTCTCACATGTTTCAAGTGAAAATCCTGGTGGGACATGAAGTTGATGTGCCACTCTCACGACTCTCGCCCAGATCCAGGTGGTTTCAGTGGCTCCCACCGAGAAAGAGCCCACGGAGGAGCAGTGTGCAGAGGAGGCACGAGGTGTTTTGGCCTTCTCGGGGTGACCCGAGGTGGATGAGGTTGGTCTCGTTGGTGGATGAGGTTGGTCTCTTTGGTAGACTGTTATCAGATGCTACGCATCTATTTTGTGTGATTGTCCAGTCCAGTCTAGTCCCCGATACTAATCTCAGTTGATCTTGCACCTATGGAGTATCATGCATGCATGTCATCGGTATGGACACGGCACACCTTGTGTCATCCATTTTTAGACAGACCTCCCCGCAAGATCATGGCACCATACCCTCCACACAAGTTTCTTCGCAGCCTTACCGCGTGGTGGTCTTTGCGCGCATCGTTCCAGAGGCAGAAGTGTGGGCCTGCCATTCCTTGAAGAGCTGGAAGAAATGCAGCCAGCAGCATCAGGCTGAAGTGATGCCCGACTCAGTCTCCGTCCTAAGGGTGGTGCCTTAAAACATGAAAACTATATAACACAGCCACATACTCTAGTAGTGTGCAGAAACTTGATTGTCCAGCTTTACCTGTTGGGTTGCTCTATTGAATGCGTCCTTGAGAAGCTTGTGATTTCTCTCAATTGATCGTCCTCGTCTCCCAGGAAGGTTCTTCATGGAATCCAAGGGATTGCTGCAGGAGAGAAATTCACTTACAACTGCACCTTGTGCCTTGGCAGGTGATCGTGCCTTTGAAGGTGATCGACCTTGATTTCGAATGGGTCCCGGATCCAGAACGAGTACTCTACCGGGTGTCCAAGCTTGCCGATCCCAGTCAGACTGTTGGACAAATCGCAGTTTTAGCCACCATTGGGTAGCCGAATTCTCCTGGGAACGGGATTCTGGCGGAAGATTCTGTTATGGTCACAATTCCGAGCTTATTGCAAGGGTAGTGTGACTTGAACCCAAAGTCTGATAGATGAGCATCTCAGTCTCCAGTAGCTAGATGCTTTTTTTGTCATGTGACTTGTGCAGTTCACAAGCGAAAACTTCCAAGCTTCCAAGCACCTGCATGCTGGGACGTGCACGCGAGCGTACAACAAACTGGGATTTTCTTGCAATGACATGTTCCTGTTTTTTGAGCTGGTCGACCGTTCACTGTTTACACGTGGTCAGTCAAGTGGGGTTACTACTGTTGGCAACGTTGTTCTGTTGTTCTCTTATTTACACCGCTCGCACTCTCCTTGCAGAAGGGGGTGTTTGTTCGTTGCGACCTTCAATGGACATTTGGAGGTGGTTAATCTTCACCGCCGGTTGGGCTGTGCTGCCCCAGACCAGGTAAACAGAGGCCGAGGTGCGCAGGAAAATCTTTCACTATGTAGTAACGTAGTTCTCCTCTTGAGTTCGGGTAAGTCCCGGTGCCGCGGGTCGTCCTAGCAATTGCTCAGCAAATCACTTGCACCATCCCATCAAAAGGTGCAGCGCCATCCTGTGGACGTTACATGCCGTTCCGCAACCCCCCCCCCGGATTGATTTAGACCAAGCGCAAAGGCTGACTGGGTCAACATGAGTCCCCCGTCCTGCGACCACCACACGGTCGCTGCAGCCTTTTGCCCCGCGTGATGCTGAGGGCAAGCTGTGGAGACTGCAGCCCTCCCTGCCCTGATCCCTGGAGTGGATGGGGTGCTTTTTGATAGAGTGAATTGGTGGTATTTGATGGTGAACAGGTTTTGGATAGTTTGATGGTGTCCCGAAGCATACCAACACTTTAATCAAAAATTCCGAAAACAGCGATGTTTTGCTCTCGTCCACCCCAGCTGATCTATGATGTGATGTTCCTCAAATCTCCGGACATGCCTTGATTGGGTTCTTCCCAAATCCAGCTCCACATCCCCCGCTTCTTCAGCATCCTAGGAGTTGGGTTCCCAAATCCTGGATGGCACCATCTGGGGCGGCGCTCGGGGCATTTGTTCGCTGCGCTGGTGTTATGTGAAGGGCCCCAATGCTTGGAACCGGTGCGAGGACGTTTTGGAGGTGGGACCCGCCACCGTCGCTGAGCCGTGGACATGGCGAAAAGAGTCGACATGGGAGAAACACGCCTGTGGTAATTGAAGAGTTCATTTAAGGCTTGCAGGTGAAAAAGGAGCTCCAGGTGAAAAACTTCACTGATTTCACTGATTTAATTGATGATTCCACATGGTTTCAACTTTAGGTTTGCATTGGAGCACGGCTCTTAGAAGGGCGGGTGGTATGGTGCGTCTTCACCGGCAGCTCGTCAGGATTTGCTGACGCCACGTCCAGTTCATCATCGCATGCTGGTATCTATGAACATCCCCTACAGCTGGGTGAACCATTCAGCTGCATATGACTTTCATGGGTGCCTTGGCCTCTTGAAAGCGAGCATTGGTTAGGTGTGGGAAACTGCTCAGCCCGGAAACTGTTGATGTGTTTGGAAAGAACTTGCCAGACACGCGCATGCGGAGTCTTAGAGATTGAAAAGGTGTGTTGCTGATGGCCTAAGTACCTTCACACTTCACTACTTGGAGTTGCTCTCTCCTTGTATGCTGTGAGTGTTCTTGGCTTTGCTCAAAACTCGACCTGGCTCGCAGGTATCGCGATGGGTTGCTGCGCGCCATGCGAGAAGATGTGGTGCAGGACGGTTCACTGATCATATGGGGTTTCACCCCACTGAAAGAGAACAGGTGAAAACGTTTGCTTCCCCGTCTAAGTCTAATTCACCTGAAGCGGCCTGGCGGCCTGGGAGTCAGCGTTCGCAGACCGGAGGGGCCTTGACTTCGCCGGACGCCTGGGCCACTTCAGGAGCTCCAGGTGAAAAACTTCGATGTCGTCCACATGGACCTTCTTGAGGATCCGCAGGGGAACGAGAAAGCTCCTAGAGATGGGTGAGGAGGTTTTGTTTGGTGCCGTCCTGTAATGAAAAGGACCTCTTACCTTTTTTTTGGGGGGTGGCCCATAATAGCGCAGGATTAAATCATATTATATATAACTCTATTTTCACCCCCCATATGACGGTGTGTTACAAATCAAATGGGTTGGTGTATTCGTGAAGAGTCTACATTAGCTTATTAGTGTAGACAAGTGCATGGATGACGTCTCCTAGTGGCGCTGCTTGCTTGGGGTGGCGATGCCGTGTCCGATTTCATGTGGCCAAGGGGATTACTGCACTTTGGCGCTCCTGAGGCTTCCACTCTGGAGCTCATCTTCCACTTTCCCACTGCCCACGACGCCTCTCGAGCCTTGAGCTTGGCCCAAGACCACACCTGGCACTTCGGACGAGCAGCTCAACATGCCAAGCTGCCTGAGCCGCTGAGGGCGCTGCTCACGCAGATGGAAGAGCTGGACACGGCACAGGTTGCTTAGGTTAGGCGCTTGCTCATTGAACGCGATCTCAGGAAGACTCAGAAAGCACTTGTGCAGATTCGTTTGGGTCACCGTCAGGCAGTCGGGGTGTTGTTCTTGATGGATCAATGCCAGACAACGACATGTTAAGAGATGCATTGCAAACCCAAGGTTTGGTTTATATAATACGGTGGAGACAAGTGTACAAGACCTTGCTTGAGTACCTGCTGGCACGGTGAACAAGAATTTCCTGGAGACCTGGTGTTTGTACCTTTGAACATGGGCATAGTGTATGCACATAGGTGCAAATATGGTGTAGGAAGCCAGTTTTATGCAGCTGGAGGGTCCGGGTACTTTGTTCCAAGCCCTGGAATCCTGAAAACGTGGATGATGTGCAGCCCAGAACCCCTTGGAATCCTAGCTCAAGCTGGAAGCTGGAACGGGCTTGGGGACGTCAACAAATTACTAACAGCACTATTCGAATCCAAAGTGGGACGCCTACTTCCACATTTTGCGAAGATCACTGTGAACTGTGCTTCTTCAAGCCTCAAGGGTTGACTGAAGACTGAAGACGGTGCTCCAAGCGGGAGCTTTCTCTTTCTCACGCGACTGCGGGACCACGAGACTGCGAGTGCAGAAACAAGTGCGGACGATCGAACGTAGTGGGTGCGATTGCTGATGGACTTAGATGAAGTGCATGAGGGTAGTGTTGGAGTTGAAGAATTCTTCAGGAATGACCATGGTCATCGGCTATCGGATGCCATCGAAGTGTGCAAGCTTTGCCAGAACTTCTTCGGAACGACCTCAGGTTTCAGGGAGGAGCTAGCGCCAAACCCACCCCAAACACCTTTTTAGAAGCTCCTTGGAGTCCTAGTAAAATGGAAAAAATGCTCTCATACCCGGACCTTCCAACAGGTCACCACCTGCGACTTTTAAGTCTACAAAAGCCTCCAGAGGAGACCTGTTGGAAGGTGCTGGTATATATCATCGCATATCTATCACATGGCCAGGTGCGGCCATTCTTTGGATCCACGCCTCCGCACTGAAGGCGCATTCCTCGGGACGCGGCGAGGCACGCACAGCCCGTCCATGAGTAGACTGGGTGTTGTTCCGCCCACCACGGCAGTGACCTGCCCTGAAATCTCCCAAGAATTGCACAGAAATGATTCATCCAAGCCATTTTGCCAGAGGGTGGCATACCATGCTTTCTTAGATTTCTATAAAAGATCCCCCCAACCACCGCCCAGCAGTCCGCCTCCTTCGGCCGCCTCGGAGGCCTTCCAATCCTCCAACCTTCATGGTTTGGAGAGCTTAGACTCCGTGCTCAAGGTGATCCAAGGGCGGATCGACGTGACGCCCCTTGGGCCGCCAAAAGGGGATTATCGGATCGATGGCACTGCGCTGGACATGTGAAACAGACGGATTCACACATGCCAGGGCGCCCCGCCAGGAGCAAGTCCAAGCTTGCTTAAAGCCCAAGTGGCTGCTTCCAGGCACCTCATGATTATAGCTGTGATCATTCAGCATAGTCATTCCAACAACGTGATCTTCAAGCAGTGTTCTATATAGTTCTGTGGCCGTTCCCCAACAGTCCGCTGCGCCGAAACACACGCGAAAACGTGACGTCGACCGCACGGGACCTGGGCCCCAGGCAGAATGTCTCACAGAAGGATGTGCTGATGAGGCCATGGATGCAGTGGAGGGGGAGTTACAGGTACCCCCACCACAAACGATCCCATGGAACCTGAGCTTTGACCGGTGGTTTCACGACCATGTTCCGAATTACCAACCCAGTGGTTTCGGGGATTCTATGTTAATCTGCCGGGGAGTCAGGTTTTTATGCAACATGCAACATAAAGAGACACAACATGCAAGACACGACATGGGATGAGTCGCATGTTGTTGGATCAACTGGGTCCACCCTCAGGTTTTGCTGGTGGCACCAGCCCAAAGGAACACCTGAATGATCGAGATCCGTGAGAACCACTGCGGCCCGCTGTATGTTTTGGGGCCATGATGAGGGCCGGCCACCGGGGCCACTTCACTCACTATCAGATTGGAGGCAGATGTGCGGTTTCTTCACTTGTGAATTGGTTAAGTCCGCAGGCCACCCCACCAACGCTGCCGACTGGGTGACACACCAGCTGCCCCTGTCACTGGAGTGGCTGCTTCGGTGGAAGGTTCGGGGGGTGCCAGGCACATGCAATCGCCGGACTTTCTAAAGCCGATCCTGGATGATATGGAGAAATATGCTCAAAGCCGGAGGGCCCAGACCGTTCAGTGCCAGGGGCCGTTTCGGGGAGCCTGTGAATGTTAATTGAGAGTGGCCGGGCGAATGGGTGGGGCTCAGCACTGATTTGCAATGAAAGGACCTAAATTGGCCTCCTAAACAAATTGCACCCTGATGAATCAAAAACCCACAATGGTTTTCTTGTTTGAGTATTGGTCATGTTTGTTGGAGATGTGTTCCTTCATCTCAACATATTTTGTCAAAAGGTGAGACTGGGGATGTTGTGACGGTCCTTCCCAATTGACATGAAGCATTGTGGCATCCACAAAAATACGGACAGCGCCCTTTCAGTGAAGAAACCGTACCTTTTTGGGATGATGATTTGGGCAGGTGTTTCCTTTGCAGATCTTAGAGCCTCCTTTCCTAGGTTGGAGAGGAGAAATTGCCTCTGAGAAGCAGGCAGCTGCCGGGAGGCCCAGAGGAAGTTCGTGCGGGGAAGATTTGGCTATGCAGTGGATCTAGGGAGAGAACTACTGTCCTTAAAAACTGTCAAAGTTTGGTAGCTCTGTTTTGAGTTCCATGTGATTTGAGGAGGTGAGCCAAAGTTCATCAAAGTTCAAAAGTTGTTGCGTCGGGAATGCACAACATCGTTTGAAGCTCTTGTAGTAGTCTCAGCGAGGTGGTATTTGCAAGAATTTGCCAAACCTCGTTGAGCTTAACTCAGCTCGTTTGCGCTTATGTATTCCAAAAAGCTTGTCCATCAAGGCTATTCTTAGCTGCATTTGTTGAATTTGTTGCTTATAGATTCGTAAATATGTGATGGCCTGCATTTTACCAAAGCACCAGTCGCAAAGGCTGAAAGCCTCCTACTCTTGGGCCAAGGTGACAGTCCTTCGCGAGGCTTATGCCGAGATCCTGGCCTGCAAGGAAGACTTGCTCAGCCACTTGGACGTGACACAACTTGTCTTGGCAGCGGCCGTGGCTGCAGTGGGCATTGTGGTTGTAACCGGTTGAGCTGTCGAAAAGCCTGCCCCACCTGAAGCAGATTCAAAGCTTAACTAAGTTTAAGCCTTGCTAGACAATGGCATCATGTAGATGTCAAGCAATGAATATTAATGAAGTATTTCAAACGACATAGGTATGCCACCAAATCTCCGCCACCGTGGCCAATTACCAACCTGCACCTGTCACGAGCGCTCACGGACTTCATCCGAAAGCTCGGCTGAGGTGAAGTGGAAGCTTCCAATGACCTGCAGGTCGGCTGGTTATGGCTTTTCATGACTATAAGGGGGAGAATGCCTGCAGAAAGTTGCCATCACAGAGCAAGATAGACCTCAATGATCCTTTGTGGATCCTGGCCTACCTCCTGCACATGGGAAGGTGTATGGTGTTTGGGATGGGTGGTTTTCGGGGTTATTCCTCGTGGTCACTATACGTGATTTGTTGCTTTGAAGGACGCACTCCCCAAAGATAAGAGTGGTGAGAACATCTCCAGGCTACTCTTGTTTGAGTGGCACTTAGTGGCACTGGCAGCATCCACCAATTTGATCAACCTTGGTGTTTTTGCTGTGCCCACCTGCCTCGCTGCCCCACGTCTGGCTCGTCGCAGACAGACTTTGGCCAGGCGAGCTTGCCCAACCGCAGCTTGGAGCACCGGCAGTGTCGGCTAAGACAGAGCCAGGAGCATCAGAAGGTGCTGCTGTGCGAGGCCCCTCGGGGTCCGTTTGGGGTGTTTCTCTGCGCGGCTCCTTTGGGTGGTGAGTAATAGTTCAGTCACAGGAGGTTACAGTAGTTTGTTGTTCCCTCTGGACCTGGAGGGATTTGCCATGGGGTTGCTTTTCCATGGGCCTTTTGGGCGATTTGCCATGTCTCCACTTCTCAACTCAGCTGATCCCGCTAGGCGAACCCTTCACCAGGAAAGTCAGACCCTGGGTACCTCGTTCGGCGCTTGGAGGGGTGCTCTGATTCCCCCGGCGCAGGCGGCCTTGAAAGGCAAGACTGCCGTGCGCCAGACGTCTGGGATCCCGGATTAAACACGGCGTGGTATGGATCGCCTGGATCCGACAGGGTTGGAGTGTTTGGTGGCTCGTACGCCTACGTGCTTAGACGGACGTGCTTGGTTCTTAGTTGGTTCTTGGTTGGTGCAAGCAGGGACGATGTTGGATCAGACACCACTGCAGGCACATCCAGACATTTTGGGCGGCTCAAAGTGGGTGATTGGTCCCAAGTGATGCCTCGCTCTCATTGTCATGTCATGTCATGTCATGTCATTGTTTTGTAATTTTCACGATGGCTTATGGGTTCCACACAGAGACCCACTTGAACAATTGAGAAACACACCTTTATGCACAGGCCTTTTGGTGGTTTTACCGTGGTATCTCGGGGTGGTGGCCAGTGACCTTTGTCCATGTCGCAGTGCCCAGGCAGTGCAACAACTACAATGACAACTACAACAAGATCCCTCAGCCCAACAACGTGTGGGCCGCTGTTTGCGAGGTTCGCCAAGAAGGCACGGAGAGAGAATCCATGTTTTTTTTTGCTGATTCTGATTTGGATTGATTTGGTCTAACTCGGCTAGTACTTGGAGGACACGAGTCATTTGGTGTTTGGAAGATGTAATTTCATGGCCAGATGAGATCGCTTTAATAGCAGTGTGTTGTTCGGAATCTTTTGCAAAACATGTACTTGTCGCCCAGAGCACGAGTGACCAAGGCCCAGAAAATCATGCCCCCATCAAGTCTGCTGAAAATGGCCCAGGTCAAGGACCCAAGGAGTATTTTGGTCACCAGTTGGCCTTCTGGGACGCTTTGCTGCTGAAGCACGACGAGGCACCCGATGCAAGACCGACGTCCGCGCGCGGGTTGAGCTGATCAACACAGGGTTTGACTTGACAGAGGAGTTCTGGACAGTGGCAGCACCGAGGAGTTCTGGTGAATACTTGGAATCATCCATGGGATCATAGAGGTTTGTAGGAGAATATGGATGGAGACCGGAGGCCTCGCAAGATCTCCTGGAAGTGGAATTTGGGGGTGACCCTGACGGAGTTCCAACTCGAGGCAGAGAAGAAGTGCCAGAACGCCACAGCTGATGAGCTTGCAAAAGAGAAAGAATGCGTTTCGGCTGCAAGGGGGGGTCTAAAGTGACCAGTGAGCCGCCAACTGGCTCACATGGCAGACGGAATGAACAAGCTACCTCGACTTGCTCATCTTCAGAAACCAGAGGGATTCTTGGAATTCACATGAATTCCCGTAAGGTTTCTATGGCATGGAACAGACCAAACTGACAACCTTGCTCACTTCCAGAGGACAAGGCGCTAGCCTTGTCCCAGTCAGCACTCTGTTGGAGCGATTCCCCTAGCGCTTTCGTGACAACTCTCGCCTGAGGCTTGGGCATCGCCGCCAATCGCGCGGAGATCACCCGCCAGTGCGATGCCGTGCAGGAGAGGTTGGTGGGCCAATCAGCGCTGACGTCAGCGTACGGACGGACCAGTTTGGGGGGCCAGACATGTAGCTACATCGGAGTAGACTTTTTCTGATGCCGTTCTTAAATATAAGACTGGTGATGGACGTAAAAAGCACCAATGCGTAAAAAAGACATGTTGTAAACTCACTGATTCCGTGAGTTGTTGGGGGGTTCCATCAACTCATCAACTCATCCTCATGTGTCGGATGTGTCTCAGTCTCAGAAGGAGGATCCCCTCACAAAGCTTCAGCAGATGTGATGTGACAACGGATCTGTCTCCTCCATGTCCGAGCCGGCCCGAACGCTCGACGCGTTCTTCGACAAGGACAAGATCGACACGGATGCTTGCAGCGGGATGCGTGGTCGGGTCGGAGCCTGCGAGGATTATGGCAGGCGTGAAGGAGGTTTTGTCGTGGGCATCCTGTGTTGGGATTGTACTAGTAGGGGCTCTTGGTGCAAAGGGGGTGCCATGTCCACCAATTGAAACTTGTACGTAGGGTGTTTTGCATTGTGTTCCTTGATAATGCTTGGTGTGTCAGTATGCTTACACCCCGTCGGCCAACACTTTTGAGGTTCAACACATGGACCCATTTCCAAGTTTACTGATGTTGGAGATGTTCGGATCTGCACGATCAGCGTCATCTGAATGTCTGCCTGGGGATGTCAGGAACTCTTCAAGATCTTCAGTAGCAAAAGGCATGTCACTAGCGCATGTATATGTGCAGCCCAACTCGCCTGAGCATGGAAAGTGAGCTGAATGTATATGGATCAAGGTTTCACCAGAAGAGACTTCAATCTGTCCCAAGCTGCTGCCTTCATTTGTTTTGCCACTTCCGCCACTGCGGCAGGTGCTATGAGCACATGGCGGGCACCTGGAAGAACACCAGGCAGCAAGTGGCCAGCATGCGAGAAAATTCTTCACAGTTGCGGATGGACCTACACCTAGAGCATCCCAAAGCCACTGTCCAATTGACATAAAGATGTGGCTGGTTGTTGTCTTGGCTGCCGGACACGCTGTTGCCACACGCCACCAGGAAGCTGACCTGCGGCCCGGGTGGCAAGGAACATCACCTCAAGGCAGGAAAGACAACCTCTTCAGCGTGGCTCAAGTTCTCGACTCGAAGAGGCTCTAGCTGAGACTGTTGGAAGGAGCAACAGGACTTGGCCAAGAGAGATCATTATATTATATCACCATTTTCCGGTGGTCCAGCCGCAATCAGGTGCAGCTTCATGAGATCCTCAACTTGGAATGTGTCTTGCAGGTCCGGGCATTCGGTGCTTCCACCGGACCGGGGGGGGACCCCCGGATGGGGTGGGGACTTGTTTAGCTGGTACAGTAACTGGGGGAGATGGGCCAAGCAAACAGGGGATGGCCTGGAGGAGAGGCTGTGGCAGTGTGAAGGCCTTGGCAGACAGATGGTCGGACCCCCAAAAAGGTGAACGCAACAAGTCGAGCACCAATGCGAATGGATGGAATTTGATGAACACTGATGTTTAGGAAGGCACAAACAAAACGGATTGTCCAAGGTTGGGCTTCGCTTCGCTCGCTTCTTCGATCGCAGGTGATGCGGAACGAGCCACAGGACCGCTGGGCAGCTGGCTCTACCCATTGTAGCGAGCAGAAGCTGGATACGACCCTTGGAGCGATTGCAGAAGGTGGTGTGGGAAGGTCAGGAAGGTGCTGGCCAAATTGAATCCAAGTGGCTTCTATACATACTTTTTGAAAAAGACATTGTCATATATAGTCTCGCTTGCCTTGCAGTTGGTCTTAAATTGACTAGAAGAAGAAGCAAGCATGTCAGTCGTTCCTACTTTCAGTGGGGTCGTCCTGGGCTGGTTCTGGATTTGGCCGTGGTTCAATCAAAGAATTCCAGAGTGACCTTCCAAATAGTTACAATCGAGCGTAATGAAAGAAAGGTGAAGCCCTCACGTCAGATGCACTTGAAAGCGCACAAGCTCTTTAACTCTTTAGTGCCCGTTTGCTTGCGGAAACTCGAGACAATTCAATCCTTGACGACTTGGGTTGGCTTGACCCAGTGCATGACCTATATGCATCATTGGCTCAGCTTCCCATCTTCCTTTTCGATCCCTGCCGTTGGTGCAGGCAGACCGTCGGACCGTCGGACGGGGTCGACGGGTCGGTTTGGCGGAGTTGTTGGACCGTCCGGTGGCCGGTGTTGAAGCCAACATTGGAAGCCAAAGCCGTTGCGATCCAACAGAGCAAGTCGCAAGCTTGGACCAGTGGGACCTTCTGGGGGGGACACAGGTTCTGAACTCCATGAGTGCAAGGTATATCAATAAGGTTACCCCAAGTATTCGCCAATGACCAATCTTTTGCACTTCTGGAGGGAGTGGATTGCCAGTCGAAAGTGTGATGCGTCGGACGGTTCTCAGTGCTGAGAAGATGATTCTTTCAGAGTGTGATGAGGTTCTAGGTGTCACGGCTTGACAAGTTTAGAGGTTTCATGTGGTTTCATCATTTGAGGTGTGCCAATGTTTTGCAGCTATGCTTTGCCAACATGGCAGGCACCAGAGTCATCGTACCCTTTTAGTCTTCCATAGCCACACCCTTTGGAAAAAAAAAACAGTGGGTTGATATCGCCCTGGGACAGGTACCCTTTGTGTTTCCCTTCTCGACCCCGGTCGTCTTCGGAGGCGCCCATGGCGGGGTCGACAGCCGTCTTCGTGATGGCGGCGGATCGGGGCCACTTTACCTGGTCAGTGCCTTTGGCTGAAGCCTTGGTGCTGCCAGGAGCAGGGCTGTAGTGAAGGGCACCAGTGGATGCAAAGGAAGTCACAGTTATTCGAGGTGGGAAGATCGTGGTTGGAACGTATCCCCTGATGATCCAGTAGCAAACCCAAACCAAAGCATTCCGGCATTCTATTGTAATTCCATGTACTTCTTACCAGGTCGCCGACTCAAGTAGCTGGACCGCAGGAGTTCTACACGCCGATGCCAAGCCGGTGGTTGAGAAGGTGGAGCAGCTGGGCGTCCAACTGAAGAAGCATAGAGACAGGTTTCAAGACGCTTTGGACCCTTTGAGTTGAAGACCAGTCAATCTAATGCCGTGCACATGTTCCAACAACATGTAACTGTGAAGTTTGAGCATAGCATCCATGAAGACATGAGCGCATGAGTCGAACCCGTCGCCACGGCATTTCACCTCAAGGTGTACACAGAGCCTATTTCCTAAGGAAAAGGTGCCCGCGGCCCTTTTGTTTTTCCGCCGTGTCGTTTCGTTCGCACACGTCACGGTCAGTTGGAACCGGAGCCATGGGTTCTGAAGGGTCGTTGCCCCAAGGCTGGACGCCCAGCGAGTTGCGCGCCCTTTTGGAACTAGATGAGGATCCAGGACCTGAACTGGACACTGAGGTCCCTCTGGCCGTAGAGCCCACTTGGCGTTGTTTAAGGTGTCATTCAGCACGTTGGTCGGAAGTTGGACACAACTCGTATCGTTGTGGTGCTTGCATGGGTACAGAGTTTTACAATGCAACCCAGCCAGTCAGGCATCAGACAGATGACGGTGTTTGGATGTTCGTTCCCCGAGCCAACAGTGCGCCTGTCGAGGATTCGCTCCCAGAAGATGATTTCCGGAGGAGGTCAGAGGTTCGGCACCCTGTTGAGGACTCAAGTCCACCTGGCCCCGACTCTGCACGGGAACCACCTGAGAGTGAGCTGCCGACGGATGATCCATCCGTGGCAATGACGGAGTATGAGTGGCCATCTGGCCCCGGCTCCGAGTTGTCCACGAGTTCACGACGCCGAAGGAGAAGAAACCGCACCACTGCGCAAGATTCCAATTCAGAGCAGGTCGGACAGCCCTCACCTTCGAGATTGCCTATGCCCTCGACATTGCCGATCCCTTCACGTGCTGGTAAGGGTGATGGTAAGAGTTCCGAGGAGTCTGAACTGTTGAAGGTGCTTCGCCAGTTGTTGGATGATCGACGCAGTGACAAAGCGTCGCAAGGCAGCTGGGATAGCAGACGCGGTCCGGCCCCTGGCATGAAGTGGAAAGGTGGGACACCTCCGAACCCACCTCGCTGGAACTATGCTGCATCGGACATTCGAGCATTTTCCAAATGGGAACGCCGTGTTCGTGTCTGGCAGTTGCAGGTTCAGAACCAGCTTTCAGGTGCAGAAGCTGGTCTCATGCTTTTTGCTAGCCTCACCGGAGAGGCCGAAGCAGAGAGCGAGCACACGGTGCTCTCCAAGGTCAACTGTCGCGACGGAGTTGACTATGTGATCAACTGCCTGAAAGGGCCCCTCGAACAGAAGATTTTGTACCAGAAGCGCTCATTGCTGGCCACCTACGAGACAGTTGCACGGTTGCCCAATGAGTCGATCCGCCAATACATCAACAGGTACAAACGCATTGAGAGGGATCTACAGTCAGTTGGCATTTCAGCAGGAGCTATGTACGATGCCGAGTCAAGAGGCAACCGGATCTTGGAGCGTTGCAAGTTGGAGCCATCCCTTGCTAGGCTTGTGTTGATTGGTGCACATAACAGCTTGGACTTTGATTCAATTTGTGAGAGTTTGCAATTGCAGTTTCCGGATTTCAAAGCAACTCCAGCATTGTTTCAACAGTCGCAGCAACAACATTGGCGCCAGCAACAGAGCAACAGCAGTTACAGGCCAAGCGGCAAGTGGACTCCATCAAATGCATCAGCAACCACGGCATCGACTTCATCGTCTTCGACAGTTCCAAGCTCAGCATCCGCCTTCAATCGAGGCGGAAAAGGCGGCAAGAGTTTCCATCCTCGCAAGGTCTATCAGACCGAGACCCTTGAAGAGGGCAATGAAGAGGATGAGCCGGATCAGTCGCCTGAGGCTGATGAGGAGTACTTTGAGCCTGAGACCTTCGATGAACAGGCTGCAGACCCCTCCCCGTCCGCTGAGACGGAACCGGCTGACGAAGATGAGTTGGGAAGCTCCCTCAATGAGCTAGCAACGGTCCTTACAGTGACCTCTAACAAGTTGCGTGCTGCCACTTTAGGCAGGAAGTTCACTGGACGCAAGTCCATCGAAGAGAGGAAAAGAACGAGTTCATGCAGTGCCTGTGGAACAATGGGCCATTGGACAGGAGACCCAGGATGCCCGCTGTCGGCTGGTGGAAAAGGTCGCAAAGGAAAAGGAAAGGGTGACCACAAGGGTTCATCAGCAGCTGCAAGCTCTACCTCCACCTCGGGTCCCAAGAGAACGTTCATGGTCTCATATGGTGATGAAGCGGTTGAAGATGACAATGCAGCCTACTTCAACTTCCCCACCAACCACGTTCCTGACTCCATGAATGCCCCTTTTGTTTATGTCACTGAAAGCATTGATTTGGCCGGATACATGGTGTTAGATACAGCTTGCCAGCGTTCATGCACCGGGTCCCGTTGGTTGAACACACACCTCCGCATCCTCGAGAACTACGGGTTGTCGTGTCATCGGGTCCTTTGCGACGAACAGTTCCAGTTCGGTGCAGGTGCATGCCAAACGGCTCACGAGCGCTGCTATCTGCCAGCGGCCTTTGCAAGTCAGGAGACCCAGGGCATTTTGTTGGGAGTGAGCGTTGTTGCAGATGTCAATATTCCCTTTTTGGCAAGTCGTGTTTTGATGCAACAGCTTGGTTGTGTGATCGACATGCACCAGAACGTTTTGTGTTTCAGCAACATTGGTGTGACAGTTCCACTTTTGCATAAGCATGGACATTTGGTTGCAAGCATTGTTGCATTTCCACCTCGGGCTGCACAGTTGAACTGTTGGTCAGAATTGGAGTCACGAGTGTTTTTGGAGAAGCCACACCCTGAGTGCATTGTTCACGAAGCCCTGACCGCTCAAGATCGTTGTTCCTCGACGTTCACCGCGGTCCATGCCCTCGCAGCCCACCAAGCAGCCGCCGTCATGGCTGGCGAACTGGAGGGCGTTCCTCCTGAGGCTCCTCATGATCGAGCTCAATGTGCTCAAGGCCATGCGCAAGCTTGTGAACATCGGGTTACGCCCAAGAGCATGGTTGAGCAGCACCGGATTGGCCGACCTCATGGAGAAGCAACGACGAGAGTTGCACCGGCCTCGAGCACCGGCCAAGACCTGTACTCACCCAGAGTTCAAGAGGTACGGGAACGCTCACGGCCAGTTTTCCCAGTGCAAGCGCTGCGATCAAAAGTTCCGGTGGATTCCAGACCAAGAAGCCTGGGCAGTATATTCACCAAAATCCTCCAGCTCGTCAGCACTGCCGCTGCCATCCTCGGGCACGATCCTGGCCCCTACGGACATCGCCAAGCCCAAGAGCAAACCGAGCAAACAAACGGCCTACAAGTCCAAGGCCAGACCGAGGCCACCACCATCGGACGCCATGTCAGTCCAATCGGCAGGCAGCTCAGCCCTTCCCATCCAGTACCGGCTGACGGAAGAGGAGATTTTCGCTACAGGCCTGACCAAGGAGGAGCTGGACGAGGCAATGTACATGGGCAACCTCCACCAGTACGACTCCGACAATCCGGACGGCTATCCATCGGACATGGAGAGCTGGGATTGGAGGGCATGACTACATCAGAGTCAGGCCAGTGTGACTTTTGGGAACGAGGCAAAGGCAAGATCATTAGGCATCACAACATCCCAAGAGTGTTGCTATTCAATCTCCAAGACTATGATTGCCCAATCCCAAAGCACACACTTTCGCCAGAGTGCAAAGCAGAGGTCCACTATGAGGATGGGACATTTGAAACCATCACGTACGACTGGCGGGACCACCATCACACTCAACTCAAGCAGCCATGGACGGGACACACCACCTTCATGACACAGAACGTTCACAACCAGTCCCAGAGTCTGCTAACGGCATCAGCACGGAGGGCTCTCCGGAACACTGTCCGCCAGACTCACCATGTCTACAACCTGGAGTATGCATTGGTGGCCCACACAGCCGATGAACAGACCCTGCAGCAGCAGCAAAAGCATCTCAGAGGAAGCCGGCCCAAGGTTGACATTTTGGAGACCTTCGCTGGCCAAGCAAACATCACCAAACGAAGCTCGAGCTTCCGGCTCTCAGCAGCGCAACCAGTCGACTATGCGACCGGCTGGGACCTGAACAACACCAGCCACCAAGCAGACCTCGAGGACATGCTTGACTCTCTCAGACCGCTCGTCCTCATCCAAGGCATTGACTGCCGAGATTGGAGCATCCTTCAAGACAACACGAACTACATTCGTCGCAAGATCCTGCTCCTGATGAGACGAGCCAAAGCACGTAAGCTCCTCAAGAAGGTCACAAGCTGGTGCCACAAACAAGCAGAAGCTGGAAGACTCTTTCTGCTGGAGAATCCCACGACCAGCAGACTTTGGCAAGAAGATGCCATCAAGAAGCTTGAAGGCTTGCCCAACGTGAGCTCCACCACCTGTCATGCAGGTGCTTATGGTGCAGTGAACTCCCAGGGCCAGATGATCAGAAAAGGACACCGCTTCATGGGCAATTGTCCGCATGTGCTGAAGCGCTTGGGACGCCACCTGTCAGCAGAGGAGCAACGAAGATGTGTTCCACTCCAAGGTCGCGAGACCACTCTCTCCCAGCACTATCCACACCAGATGGTGACAGAGATCCTCAAAGGTGTCCAAGATGAGGTCAGAGCACGCTTGCCTGACCGATTCCAGCCAAGACCCAAGGTCTACAGCAGCTACATGGTCACTTCACCAGACCAATGGCATGAGGCACTTCAGATGGCAGAAGCAACCTTTCAAGTCACCAGGTACAAGACCTTCACTCTGCCAGCCTCCGACCCACTGTTCGCCCTGACCAGGAGACTGACTCAATGGTCTCACATGGAGCGAGTTCAAATAGCACTCCAACCAATCATGTGGCGCTTTCCTTGGCACGTGCCACACACCCACCGAGCTGCAGCCTTGCAGTACAATGATGGAGAGGTTCAGATCATTGAAGAGGACCTCAGCGAGCTCAGACACCCCAAGGCAAGATTCAAGAAGCCTGTCCAACTGGCCATTTTCATGTTTGGACAAGGCCAACCTGATGCAGAACGTCCACGAGACCAAGCATCGGCATCACATGAAGCAGCACAACCACCTCCATCGGAGAACGATCCGAGGAAACTGGTTCCACCACCACCCGGAGAGGAAATTTCATTTCCACTCGAGCTCAAGATCCCCGCCGAGATCAAGAATGCCATACGGCGGATGCACCAGAACTTGGGCCATCCCAAACCAGCTGAGCTCAAGAAGCTCTTGGCTCTCAATGGAGTCAACAACCAGGCCATCTACACGGCCGTCGAGCATCTTCGCTGCAACTCCTGTGAGCGCACCAAAGGACCTTCCAGGCCAGACCTCGGCGCCATTCCAGCTGAGGACGGATGCTCGCAGTTCGGAGACAGGTTGCAGATGGACATATTTTATGTCCGAGATGTGACCGGCCAGAACTTCATGGTGTTGGGCATCATCGACGAAGTGACACACCTACACCTCGCAGCCCTTCTCGACAACCGACAGGCGGAGACAGTCCTGGCAGCCTTCAATGACACCTGGGCTAAGGCCTTCGGATACCCACTACGGATCAGACTTGATCCTGATGGCTCATTCAGGTCCCATTTCGAGGACGACCTTGACCAGGCCGGAGTCTTCATTGACTACGTCCCCGCTGAGGCCCACAACAAGATCGGCCTCATCGAAAGGCACAATGCAGTGTTCCGATCACTGATGGAACGCATCATCGACTACAGAGCCATCACAGGTCGAGAACAGATGTACTACACCACAACGGCAGCAGCCTTCGCAAAGAACAGCTGCACATGGTCCGCAGGCAGACCTCCCTATGTGGCAGCCTTCGGCCGCATACCACGCATGGGCATTGAGTTGCTCAGCGATCCCCATGGGCTTGTGACAGGACAAACCAGAGCACAAGCACAACAAATGGCAGACTCACTCAGAGTCGACGCACAACAGCAGATTGCCGCAATGTCCATCGACAGCACGTTCAGGAGAGCACTCCTACGAAACACAGCAACAAGCAGCACCGACACACCTGAAGTCGGCAGCATTGTGGCATACTGGCGCTGGACAGCCCGCAGCGGCAAGAAACGTGGCGGCTACAAACTCGCCCGGCTCCTGGGACGAGATCCTGACGGGAAGTCAATGTGGCTTCAAGCTGGCACCAACACCGTCAGGGTGGCACCACACCAACTCCGTGTGGCTAGAGGCTTTGAATGCTGGCATCCAGACTACCAGCAGATCAAGGACCTTCGAGTAGCCTCCCAAAACCTGCACGACAACCAGTTGCAGGATGAACGAATTCCAGAACCACCAGTTGATCCAGATCAACCACTTGGCTTTGACGGCATGGATCCGGCAGAAGAGATTCCGCCATCGGCAGTACCTCTACTAGCACAACCTCCCACCGCGGCATCGGCAGCAGCACCAGCGGAACAAGCAGAGGAGGCAGTCCAGACAGATCCATACCAAGAGACAAGAAACACACAGATCGAGATCAACGTACATTCACCCACCTACAGACAAACGGTCATACAGGCACAAGCACAGCCATCAACACCGTTTGGCATGACAGCGGCACAATGGATGGAGCCATCAGTCAATGCACCCGTCCGCAAGAAGCACAGATCCAGAACACCAGCACGGGGGCGACACGCCTCAACACTGGCAGATGCTTCACGACCAGCACTGCAGGATCAACAAGATCCACTGGCATTGACACCGGCAACACCTTTTGTACCACATCAGAGCAGAGCTGAAGCATCAGCTACAACACCAGGTCAACAGGCTGAAGTCATCGATGTCGACAACTTGCCTGACACGCCACAGCCAGCTGAGCATTTGGAGCACGTGGTCCCGTCCACACCACCGGACCTCGCTCAAGACAACCGGCAGTCCTCTAAGAGGAGCAGTACCGAAATGGCACCGCCACTGTCAGAGCAGGCACCACCAGCACCACTTGGCTACAAGGCGCTCTTGGCCAAGCATACTCAGCCACGGCAGATTGGACAGAACACCTTCCACCTGAAAGGCTACAACCGCATTGCAAAGGCGGCAACACAGGCAGAACCAAGCCTTTTGGTTTGGGCACGGCTCGACACAAACAGCAACAGCCTACAGACCACACACCTCTCGGGACCACCCAAGGGGCACATCAAGCGCCGGAGGGTTCTCACATACCCTCAGGGCAGCATCGTGTGGGACGCCCCATACGAAGACGACCAGACAGGCCGTCGCATTTCTCCAGAGTACACCACGCTTGTCACAGAGCTTTGGCGTGAACACTATGCACCACACCCATTGGATAGTCTGGAAGTCACACCAGACGGCATCCAACAGCGAGAACAGCACCATGATGGCAGCGACCACATCAGCATGCCATACTCGTGCCACACAGCATTGCAGGCATACCGCAAAGCACCAGGCTACAATGGCACCGGCGAGTCAAGTGACTCAGAAGCATCAGCAGATGACATGACCACCGGGCACCGAGGCAACAGCAGCCTACCAACCACGGCAGCAGCACGCAGCCTAACCAGGCAAGAGCAGAAAGCCCTCGACAAAGAAGTGCCTTGGCAGGCCATCCTCCAGATGGATCAAGATTCCATCACCAAGTACGTCGAGTCTGCAAAAGCTGAAGAAGCATCATGGCAGCAGTTCGACTCAGTCATTCCGTTGACTGCGCAGGAGGCCAACAAGGTGCATCAGGATCCAATTCTCCGTCGAAGGATCCTCAAAGCAAGGGCCGCCTACAGAGACAAGGCTAAGGGCCAAGGACCACTCAAGGCGAAGACCCGTGTTGTGGCCTTGGGTCACCTCGACCCGGATCTGCAAGAGATCTGCCGGGAATCAGCGACTCCAACCAGGCAGAGCGAATACGCCCTGCTAGCCTTCTTCATCAGCGGCTTCAACCACATGTTGCTGGATGGAAAGGATCGCTGGCTTCTTTGGTGCGGGGACATCAAAACGGCATTCCTTCAGGGGACCCCAGATCCTCGCAAGCTGCCATTGTTTTTGCTCCCGCCTCAAGACGGTGTGACAAAGTTGGCAGGCACGTTCAAGGCCCCGCTTTACAAGATTGTTGGAAACATTTACGGCCTAGCATCAGCACCCAGGACATGGAGCCTACATGTTGTCAAGACATTGGTGCAAGCCGGCTTCCGACAGCACAGCCTGGACAAGATGTTGTTTACATTGTGCACCAAGCTTCCAGGAGACGATCACTCAAGCCTGGTAGCAATAGTTGTGGCCTATGTAGATGATTTTTTGCTCACCCACAACCAACGTTGGGACCGCAGGGCATTGCTGGATTTGTTCAAATGGGGAGCGCAAGAAGAGCTTTCTTTCTCCAACAGCCTCACCTTCAAGGGAAAGGAGATCAGTCTCCGCAGCGAAGGTCAGACGACCTACCTGGCCCTGACACAGAAGCAGTTCATTGCTGGGATGAAAGTTGGCAATGTTCAATGCAAGAAGAGGCTCGACGAGAAGTTGCTTCCCGAGGACATGGCCGAGTTCAGATCGGTCGCAGGATGCCTCCAATGGTTGGCTGGACAATGCCGACCGGATGTGGCCAGCACGGTGTCACTTTGCAGCAAAGGCACCAACAGCACTTACAAGGAGCTCCAGACCTTGTACGAGGCAGTGCAGCACCTCCACAACACCTCAGATGTGGGGATCCACATGTGGCCTGTTCCGCTCAACGATCACACCTTGATCGTGAGTTACTCGGACAGCTCATGGGCCAATGCGGCCGGATCGGCGAGCCAGCACGGCAACATTTTGTTGCTAGCTGATCCAAAGGTGGTTGACACCACGGGCCCAGGCCTTTTGTTGGATTGGAAGTCGAGCCGCAGTGCTCGAGTATGCCGCTCTACGCTGGCAGCTGAAGCCAGTGCCTGCGACACCGGGATCGATCGGGCATCCTTCATGGCCCACCTGATCAGTGAGATCCTGCAGGACAAGGCATCCTTCCTCCTCACGAGGACGCTGCGCCTGATCGGCGTGACTGACTGCAGAAGCCTGTACGATGTTCTGGTGAGTGAAAACCCCAGAACGGAGGACAAGAGGACCATTGTGGTCATCCGCTCGATACAACAGCACTTGCAAAGGCTGGATGTGCATTGGGTGCCAACGCAGCTGCAGTGGGCAGACTCGCTCACCAAGCTGTCCGACAAGTTGCTGCTGGAGTTTGTGGCATGGCTTCGAAAGCCATGGATCCAGCTTCGTGACATGCCCGAGAGCACGCGTTCGACTCAACACAAAAATACCAGTGTGAAGTTTGAGCATAGCATCCATGAAGACATGAGCGCATGAGTCGAACCCGTCGCCACGGCATTTCACCTCAAGGTGTACACAGAGCCTATTTCCTAAGGAAAAGGTGCCCGCGGCCCTTTTGTTTTTCCGCCGTGTCGTTTCGTTCGCACACGTCACGGTCAGAGTAACATATATTTTGGATCATTGTGTGTCACAAAGATATTGAGATGGAGCCCAGATCACCGCCGTATTGGGGTGCATGCTTTGTGTCTCTTCCGGCATGTCTGCTGAGAAACATGTTCCCTGGATCTCCCGGGCTTTCCGGGGCTTCAGTTGTTGAAATATGATTGAGCAGGGATGCATGACCATGTAGTACCCCATACTCACCCCATGTTTGACGAATGGTGTTCGTGATGCGTGATGTTCAATGATTTCTGGTCCTTATATAGCCCATAGCCCAAGATGGTCCAACATGGAAAGAACACGCCTGATACTGGGTACCATTGGGTACCCGAAATTGAGCCTTTTGGTCTTGTAGAAAGCTTGGCTGTAATCCGGGCGCTTGTATGTGTCCGGACACATCAGGCACGACTTCATCGGAGTTTGGGCCCAGGTATTGGACCTCAGAGGAATCAGCTGAGTGGATCTCTTTTCCCGATCTTCCAGTGAGCCTGGGCTCCTTGGCCAAAGTCCAACGCATACCGACGTATTATGAGTTTGATTGAATTTGTAGAGCCAGCTTGGATATTCACGTTCTGTTTATTGAAAGATGTTAATAACCTATACCAGGACCATCCAAGGGGTGTCCGATAGACTACCCTACACTACCTAGAGATCTCTATTGGACACCCTTTGGATGGTCTAGGTAGTTAGTCCCCGGGTTTTGCTTCGTTTCGCCTTTCAGGCGGCAGCACTGGAAGTTTCAGCCACACCAAGAAGGCTCGGAGAGTATCTTGCGCCAGACGTCTGAGAGTATCTCTTGCGCCAGATGTCCCAGTCGTGCATGTCCTCACTATAGGAATTGGGTAACTGCCAGGACCCGTGTCCTCTATGATATTATATGTCCACAAAGATTCTGTCATTGATACCGTAATGACAATTATGGTTTGCAGAACTGTAGCTGACCACCACCTTTAGCATAACGGTTTCCATAAGCCATGTAACATGGTATCAGGAAAATTCTGGCTTGGCTTGAGTCTTGAGATTCTACAGCTACAACTGGACTGTTTACAACTGGTTGGAGGTTCCCAGTTCAGCATCAGTTCGCCGGTTTTTGCCAGAAGCGTCGTGCCATGAGAGATCGAAGAACAAATCTGAAGACTGCACCAGATGGGGATAGGATGGGGTATAGGGGATGACATAGGACTTTAAATGCAGTTCCCTTTGTTGAGCGATATGGGCGGGTTATAGGATTCAATTTTGTGGGGTAGAATGGAGATGATGGAGTATGTCATGTATATATATATATATTTATATATGTATACAGGACTTTTACATATATTCCACTCAGGGCCCCACACAACCCCCAACCGGTCGGCTGCGGGCACGTCCCACGCACCATCCAGGTGGTGGAGATCTTCACTCGTCTCAGCAGCGCCGGGGACAGCGACGAGGAAGGAGGGCAAGCCTTGGAGGCGCGGGACCAGTGAGGGCAGGGCAGCCTGGCACCGAGAGGTTGGTTGAGGGGTTGAAGTTCCCAGACCATCCATTCGGACTCCCAGACCATCCATTCGGACTCCCAGACCATCCATTCGGACTGGAAGAGTTGAAACTACAAAGCCCTATCCCAGACACGACGTGTTTGCGACTGCCAGTCCGGACTGCCGAGAAAAGGCCAGGGGCGGTGCGAGGGGGGTCAATGTAGGCATATATGGCAGTCCCATGGAGTGTGTGGGTATAGTATTAAATAAGCCCCATCCATGTAACTCTTTCAGTCGTTGGATGTGCTTTGTGGGTGTCTCGGGTTGGCCATACGTTCCATAGTCCTAGCTGACCTATCCCCACAAAAAAGGAGCCCTGTTGACCAGGCCTCAACAGCTCTCCCTCACTTCTCCTTCCCCCCACCCTCCACGCACCGTTTTTGGAACCCTGGGGCTCCAACCACCTCAGAAGGTAGTTAGACCCACCCGAACCACCTCAATGAAACGGAGGTCGGCTTAGGCTGGGAGCCCAAACGGGCAACACGCGTTTGGTTCAGATCGCCGCAACTCTTGCCGTGGACAGGCGCACTTCGAGTCCCAGCTGCGTGAAGCTCAGCTGGGCGCCACTTTGGCAGAGGCCTTCGAGAAGATGACGGTCTCACAGGAGGTCCAGGAGCGACTGCAGAAGCGCTTGAGCCATGGAGATGTGGCTTGGTGGCTGGTTGGGTGATTTCTGGGCACTTGGTGAGCGTTGTGATGGTTACGCAATGTAAGTGATCTCCTCCATTCTGCTAGTTCAAGTTTATGCGATGATGAGCTGGAACCAAGGCAAAAACGGGAAGAACGCACAAGGTTCGAGACAATCTTGGGAGATTGTGGATCCTACATGGGGGGGGTGCTGTGACCTTGCCAACAATGCAGGCAGGACCCACCAGTTCCAGAACTACCGGACCGGACGACGGCTCACAACACGTGCCTTAATGAGTCTGGAGTCTGGGCACCAGTACGTCACATGACGCCCCGATAGCAATGCCACCCACAGTCAAGTGTGCCGGAACCCAGGTCTTTGTGGTGGTCTATGAGCAGGTGTGGCCTCCTGGCATGCGTTTTCATCGCTTGAGCTCCATGAAGCTAGACCTGAAGGATTCTTAGGGTTCCGATATATTTCAGCCAACCCATGCACCAGCTGGACCGCTTATTCCTACCAAAAAGCTGAGGTGTTCCTGGGTGGAGGCCTTAGCGAAGAAGGCCGAGGTTCCGTGCATCTCCTTCCAGCCATCCTACATCGATTCTTGACTTCGATCTCACATCCCCACCATCCAGGCCATCATTTAGGCCCTCCAAACGATACTCCAAACGATCAAAGTTTACAAGTCTTCACCACCACCCAAAGGGTGGTTTGTGGATGTTTTGGAATGGAAAATGCATAGTCAGAGTCAAACGGGGGTGTCAATCGCTGTCACTGCTTCATCCAATTGCAACCTGTCAAGGAGAAGCTGCGCTGTTAGTGAGTGGGCCAGTGTCAAGTCATGTCAAGCCCATTGCAATTATGGGTTAGGGGCTGGAATTGCAAGATATTTTTGCAAGCTCAATGATGTCATTTGGAACACTCTTTCAGGCCAATGTGTTCATTTTATTCTCATCACTTAGTTCAGGCCAGGTAGGGTACTGCCCACATCAACACCCACCTTGGCCGTCGCTTGCTGTTTCGCTCTCAGGACGTCTTCCGACAGAGTGCCAATTTGCCATGTCGGTCTTTTCAGAGCGGCCTTGACTTCGGCCCGGAGGGCATGGTGTGACCTGGCTGACAGATGGTCAGTTGCTACCTGCGTGGTAAGTGGTCATATATATATATATATATAAGGAGGAGGTGAACATTTTGGGAGGATGGGTATTCTAACAAGAACATGAGTTCTGAATGTGTCAATACAACTTGAACCTGGTGCGCCTGCCATTCTGGGTTGAGAATTCTAACCAGTCAATTCCCGGATCATCCCGGATCCAGTTGTGGCCAGGTATACTTTAGCCTCCTGCCTACGTACCGGTGCGCCAGTACCTGCGGGCCGACGCGCAGTCGGCGCAATATTGCCCTTGCCCCAGAGCAGGCCCTTCCGAGCATGATGTGCGGAGCAATTAGCCAGAGATGGTGACAGACAATCCTCGTCAGGAGAATTCTTCTTTTCACTCCCAGGTGTAGACTATTGGCAGGTAGACCAGGTAGGATTTTCGTTGTTTGTATGGCCTTTCAATCTTGCACAAATCCGGTGGAGGGTTGTGGGTGCATCAACTGCACGGCGTGGAGTGTTTGATATAGGCTTCGACTCCAGCATGACGACATCGAGAAAGACCTTCGCAGTTGGCTGGAGAAGGATCCCGATAGACCGGTTGTGCAACTTGGCTGCCTTGCTCGGGTGGCACAGGAAGGAGTTTTGTAACCTAGTAGCTACGCTAAAGTGTTTGTGTGTGTTTTTGACAGCTTTTTTGGCGGGCCTATGGCCTACGTAATTGCTGCAGTCGCGATTTACGGTGTGCTTTGAGTAAGGCTCTACGCCATCCATACTCTAACAGGCCCTTCAGATGCCAAGATGCCCTCTTCCGCACGCAACCCGCCCGCCCTCCAAACGCACGCAGCAGGTACTGCTCGCTGGGCAGCCATATGCTGGCTCGGGTGCTGGATCCTGGCAGCATCACCCGCTTGCTGAAGGGGATTTTAGAGGCGAGCTGTCGCGCTTTGCCTCTCGTCCACGATCGTCATCAAAGGAAGCAGTTCGCAGCAGCACATGCTTTCCCATTGCAAGTGCAAAGACGTTCAACGTCGTAACAGATCAGCTTGTTCGGGGTGGTTCGTCCCAAATACTAGACAATCTCATTGGATGTTCATTGTGTACCTGTATGTACCTATACTACAGACATCTACAGACCATATTGTGAACCCTCACCGTGACGAAGGCAGTAGCGATGGTGGAATAATGCAACTCAAGTTGAGGCTTCCATCAGCCTTACACTCTGCGATTGCATTTGATGGCTCAGGTTTGTTCTCAACAAGGCAGCTCGAGAGTTTGCGGACTCTGACCCTTCCATGGCACTAGAGGGGTGGGGGGGGGCCATGGGAGCGAGTTTGCTTTGAGAAGAAGAGTTTACAAGAGCTTCCCCCCAATCTCAGATGATATTTAAAGCCACACTGAAGATCATTGAAGCTTCCACCCAAAAGGATCCAAAAGGTCGCTCTCATCATCCAAGTGCAAAATCACCTCATGGCTGCCATGAGAAGGACTGCTAGCCAGACTGAAGTGTTATCCGGTGCTGCATGGCAAATGGTCGGCTGCACATGAGGATCCGGGCTTTGACACACTGTTTCGACATCCGGATGTGCGAGTAGAAGCCTGGGTGTAGCTCGGCTGGGTGGAGGGGGTCACATGTTGATGTCCTTGAAGGTATGAGGATGCAGTTCTTGCAGTGATTTCCGCTCATTTGGCACGGATTGGAACACTGACTTGGTGAACCGTGATCCTCATGCACTTCATGGAATGGTGCTTTTGCTTGGATTTGGCTGGTCAAGCATCTCCAATCATAAGTAATAAAAGCGTTTTTGGAGACACATGCCATTCGAAAGAGCATTCTGTTTCAGCTGAGCCTTGCTTGTTTGACATCACTGATTCCACCAGGAATCAGCAGGGCGTCCTGGCACATCCCTCAACGTTGGTGTTCCTCACCCACTGCGGTGCCAATTCTGTGCACGAGGCCTTAGCGTGGCTTCGGATGCAAAAAAGGGACCGGAGTGACAACTGGCCGAGACGTCGCTCGCGGGACCTCTCGCTGACCGTGCTGCCAAAGGCTCGGTGGCAGTCTCGATGGCACATGGAGAATTCCATGGATCTCCATGGAGAATCGCAGCGTGGTTGAGACCTGTTGAGACATGTTGAGACTGGGTCAGTGATCCCCCCAAAGGGCTCGATGTTGCGGCTCGTGGCAAAGCACACCGGCACACGTTCGTTCCGCTCGATTCCGCTCGCCAGACGGCGTCGACGTTCAGGTCCGGGACGCCCATGGTGGCGGTGCCCTTCTTCGACGACCAGCACTACAATGCGCAGGCGTTGGTGGAGGCGAAGGTGGCGCAGCGCATCCCAAAGCGCCCGGTGCAGGTGGCCGAGGCATGGGAGTGAGATGGGAGGGTGGGAGATGGAGTTATAGTGGATGCGCAAGTGGATGGTGGCTACAATAGTGGGGAGGGAGGAATGGAACCCAATAGGTTGGAGAAGGAGACTTTAGATACTATCTTGAGTATGGTGTAGCCATTTGCTCTCAGCCCCCCAGTTCCCCCAACTGCATCACAAATCACAAGTTGTGCCCTTGCGCCTGGTTTTGGTTCACTTCACGCAAGTTGGCCAGACATGTGTGTTTCGGATGGGGTTGCAAGCACCAACAGCTTTGAGATCTTATCTCAAAGAATATTTCTAGGCGTTTGCCGTGCATGTCGGGAGCCTTGCATTGTGTCAGATGGCAGAGGTGGTGGTTTGCTTCATGCTGATTGTAGTATCCACCCGTGTGGCAAGTACCTTCCAAGAGGGCCGAAGCCGCCACAAGAACCAGACCATTTCCATGAGTTTTTGCCTTAACATCTTACAGTATCTGTTGGCAATTCATCCCACCACCAGTCCAATTGACTACCCTACACTACCTGCCTGGACCTCCAGCCAGGACACCCATTGGATGATCCTGGTGAGCATCACACCCTATCTCCAGTCCACTCATCCCGTCGACCGATCCTTCCGCCAGGTCGCTGCAGCTGTCACCGCCATGCGGTCGTCGGCCGCCAAGGCAGCAGCCGCTGCATTGGGCAGTGCGGTGCTGCGGGAGGAGGGCGTGCGCAAGGCCGCGCAGCTGGTGGCACAGTGCAGGCCTTTGGAATGGCGGGGTGTGGTGCTGATCTTGGACTAGATAGAACTATTGGTTGTGCTTAAAGGCATGCAAGAAATTTGTTCGTTCATGCAACATCATGCAACCAATGTTTCTTTGGCATGGTGTGTTGCGTATTTGGGAAAGTTTGGTCAATCCAGGAGAGGTAGGATAGGATGGAATGCCGCACGTAGATTCTGTGTATAGGCTGGCAGTGTACTACCCTGGACCTTGACACCCTTGCCGCTGTACGTAACTGCTAGGCTACGAGGTGCATCGTGAGATTGTGGTGGGGAGAAAATGTATGGTGGCTCCTGGCTCACTAGTAAGAGGTCTAGCATGACCTTTTGGTTGGTTGAGTTTGCCTCATTCCTTTCATCCACAGCGGCCAGGGAAGATGCTGCCTCCAAAGTGCGGAGGCTGTCTTGACCATGATACATGTTTATTCTTGCCCAGATCCCTCAGGGATCACATGAGGGTAAACCAGCGGGATGTATGATGCAGCTTGCAGCCAGGAACCATCTTTAGCGGATTCTTTTGAGCGACGCCTTGTACAGATCTCTCTCGCCAAATGCGCGGTTCGGCTTGCTTTCCGATCCACTGAACCTACACCTCGATCAGATGTACAGAGCTTGTGAAGTGGCCAGGAAATCATCAGAGGCTGCAGTTGGGCATGGTGTGGCTATTTTGATGCACGATGACTCGCTCTCCCATGTTCAAGGCGACTAAGTCGATACCGTGGAGAAGTATCGTTGCCGCTTTGGGCGTTGCATGCATATATCGTGTTAAGCTGGTGCTGATGGTAGGTTCTGTGTTGGCCTCAGATTGGTGGAGACAACTTTTGACAAAGCCGGGAGTGCAAGTGTAAGTAGTGCCTGGACTATATAAGTTCCGCGCAGCCATTTTTGCAGATACCAACCCGTTGATAGCTCTTGAAACTCAAGATTGGAACAGTTTCACTCCAAATGATCCCACACCCTTGATTTGATCACGACCCAGCGACCTATAGCAACTTCTTTATATAGATCACTTGGCACCTCAAGATGTCCGGACATGTCAGGATTCTGCCCTGGATCCCACCCTGTCAGATTCAACTGGGAAGCTTACTGTGAAACTGGCCCGGCCGCGCTGGCGCCCCTTCGACCACGTGGCGCTGTGTGGCCGCCTGCAGTGCCGCGGGCGATCGATTTGAATGAACACATGGTGAAACACGTTGGAGGGCAGAAAAGGTCATGCCAGGACAAGTACAGCCTGTGAGAGTCCATTGTTGCCTAGCTAGTCATCATGTTGTTAAAACATGCACTCGGGGACAATTGTTTATGCTTGATTTGCCAGTGTGAGCTCATGGCAGGTCAAATTGGATGCGTCTCAGCTCCCGTTGAGTTCGAAGAGAAGGCTGCCTGAAACAATTTTATAGTTACTTCAACATCTTAAACGTGAACTCAGCACCTTGCTGTTTTTCTTATTTTTTTCTCAGCATGTCACCAATGGCAGCAAAGGACAGGAGTTTCTCTTATGACTCTAATGCTGGTGTGCTTGCAGGCTGTAAACATTGCAGCTCAAATTAGGTGCCCCGAAGAGGCCTGAGCTCCCCCGCCTCCCAGATGGCTTGGCAGCTTCTAGTGGTGTCGGCTGCCATTGGTGTCCTGGTTGTGGGCTTGGTGTGGAAAGCTTTCCAATGGAACATCACAGACCACGACTATGAGCCGTTGGCAGTGGTGTCAGGTGGAGAGACTGACACCGAAAAGGGCAACACACAAACGAACGAAGAGCCTTTGCTCCTTCGTGGGCCCCCACAGGCCGTGGGCATCATCACAGCTATGTGGCTCTTGGCAGTGATGCATTATGAAACGATGACTTGGCAGCGCCTGGTCGCTAGCCTCCCAGGATACCTCTTTGGCACCTACTTAGTTCTGGGCTTTAAGTGGAAGCTGGAGACAGGGGTGAGCTGGACCTTTGCCATTCCGCACTTCCTGTGGCTCATGGCTGTGCCTTTCATCGAGATCCCTTGGTACCTTGTGGTAGTTCAGACGATCGGTGCGATCCTGGAGGCCTTCGGACTGGAGACCACGAACAAGTACGAAGTCCTTGGCTTTGTCACTTGCCTTGCTGGTCTCTTTGTGGCCTGGATCGGTGCCATCTTCACCATCACCTGGCAACTGGCCCTCTTTACTCTACCTGGCTGCCTTTTGGTGATGTTTGTTGGCTACATTGCGATTCTGGAAGGAGTGCAATCGCAAAATCCGGTATTCTTCTTACAAAAACCTTTGATGGCTTGGTGCTTTGCTCTTCCAGTGCTACATGCCACTGGCCTGTGGTGGCTCCTTTTACTCCTGGAGCTCATGGCTTTCCTGCTCTTGGCCATCCCCTGCACGGTCACTGAAGATTTCGATAGATTGAAGAACTTCATTCCCATTGAGCTGCTCGTGGGCCTTGCAACTCTCGCAGGATCCCTTGCTGCCCTGGCGATGTGGAGTTCAGGTGGCTGGTCTTGGGCCTCTTGGCCTTCGGTCTTCCGTGACCTTTGGCCTTGGGAGCTCTACTTGATGCCCTTCACCTTGTTTGTCATTTGGTGAATTCTTGAAGGATGTCTCGGTCTCCGCTGGATTTTTATTACAGGGTCCCAGGTAATCACCAGAATCAACATTCTCCTGATCCTGGTGATGTTGCCACTGTTCCTGCAGATTGATGTGGCGAAGCTGCAATCTCGTGTCCCGACCCT